GGACCGGGGTTGTACGTATACCTCCCACGAACTGTTATAGCTCGACAGTGACGTGCAGTCTGTCAGAATAAAAATGGCATACCAATAACAAAGTGTACATACCGTGTTACGAAGGTAATCCATACGGCGTTTATTTGAGCTCTATATCACACAAAACAAGATAGAATCGACGAGAGTCCCTTTTCGACGAGTGTTCGTCAACACTGCCTCGGAAAACAAGGGGAAGAGATTGACCTCACCTCTTAATCTAGAATTGAGGTCAGTGATCAAACTATAATACGGGAAGGGTCCACAAGGGTCGCGCGGGCATATTCCATTTAGCACGCCAGCCGGTCGTAGGCAGACGGTCTTGCGACGAAGCAACGCAGCGCCGAGTCGGAATGCCTGCTAGGCCTATATTCCGAGCACCTCGCTTCGTCGGAGTCGGTGGATCCAGCGTTCTTGTTCGTCGTGGTCTGTTTTAAGTACTGTTTTCTTGCTGCTTGAAGTCGGCACGCGCGGGAAGAACACGTAAAAAAATAAACGTTCAGTCAGTCAGAGTTTTGAGAGGAAGGAAAACAAAGAAAATAAACGTTCGTCGGCGGCCACCGCCACCCAAGTAACTGTCGGCCCTGCCCTACTGCGCACGGGCAGTAGTTGCTTCGTTTACCACACGATAGATGGCGCTTGGCTCTCAGCATTATCAAATTTGGCAATTTTTGCCACACATCTCTAATTATGCTACAAAATGTGGATCTGAATATTATTTAACAAAACTTTTAGGAAACATTCGCCGGCTATTTATTGTTTACGATCGCGGAGCTGGTGAGGTAGGCTCTTACCCAATAGGCGACCTGGATTTGGCTGACGTGCTCCATTTCCGCGGATGCATCGTAGTGAACAGGCGAAGGAAGGAAGGCGCAAAAGAGTCCAGTTTTCTTTTAAAAGTTCTATAGCAAATAATTTTTTTGGCTCCCTATTTTTGTGTTTTTGTGTTTCTTTTCACACCTTTTACGACGTGCGGTGGATGAAACTCGATTTTAAAATCATTTCATGGTCCCTTTAAGCGGAACCAAATACAAACACCAATGTAACCTCCCCCCCTTCCCCCCCTTTCCCCCCCGGCCACGGACAAACTTGGGCCCAAAAAATATGAAGGACACTTCAATACACCAAATTTTGTTTACAATGAAAGACGGCAAACTTCAACGGCGCAATCTACAAAAGGTCGCAATGAGGTCAAACCTTTGGGGAACGTAAACTGAAGGTCAAAGTAACCAGCACTGAGAGAAAAAATACATCTCAATTACTAAGAGATCTTGGGAGACCTATGATTACAGTCAACCCAAAGCGACGACCGAAAAAAGACAATAAAGAGCGAGTTCGACGAACGTCTACATACGACGTTTTCGGTGAAACAAACAAATAAACAAAACAACTTACTCTTCTGCGAAAATATTTTTTTGACACCGGCACATGTTTATTGTTTTTTTTTTGTTTTTTTGCTTAAAACAAAACAACAAATACATCTTATTTATAATCTGCAGTCCAAGTTGGTCGCAGGTGTGTGGCAGCTTCGCGATAAGGTTGCAAAACATCGGTTCGGGGGTGGTAGGCATGTTATTCCTGTTATTAAAAATAGCAGCTTAAACTTTAGGATTTAACTTGTACACAAAGAGAGAAAAATAAAAAAAGGAGAGGACCGACAGTTTTCTGTCGTCTCCTGTCCTTTCTTGCTTCGTGTACAAGTTTAATTTAATAGCTCAAGCTGATCTTTTTACTAGTCTTTCCTCTTGGTAACCGCCGCCAAATCTGTACTGCACGTACAAGGCACGAGCCTGCAGGTCACTAAGTTGTCGCGAACAGGGGTTCCAGTTGTGTGCTCGTGAGGTTTTCTTTTAGCAGAGATTGTGCCACTTACGCGTACAGTAACGGCTCCAGCGAGCGCAAGGGTATGCGACTGGGGGCGATTAAACATTACCTTATTTCTCTCGTCAGTTGTGACGCCCAAACTTTTGATTTACAAGACTAATAAATGGCCTGCTGACTCAACAGAGTTTGACTTCCCGTCGACTTCATTGAGTTACATTTTATCAAAAGTAGATGGAGCCACGGACGTGTGGCTGCTCAAGTCATGGCTCTCCGTCTTTTGACTTTCCTTGAAAACGGGTCCTCTGCTTTCGATTAACACATTTCACCCCTCCTGAGTCTCAATCTTTGATCACGTGTGCTCCTGGAACACGAATATTTAAAGGCAGTTCAGGTCGCATCATAGCCCAGTCATTTTATTGCTGCCTTATTAAACAAATAATTTTGAGAATATGTCCAAAATATTGCGAAATTCGACAATTTTTAGTGACTAGAGGGCCGTTCTGGACAAGACCAATCACTCCTTCTAAAATCAATTTTCACAGGCGCAAATTTTAATAGAATTGGAGCGCTCTTATGACTTTATCTAACTATAAAAGATTATGACAGAAAAATACAAGCATAGTTGCACAAAGACGATTGCTAAGATACGCTATTCTTTCTTTGCTGCTCCAAAGTCAGTAATCTCTTCCAAATGTAAAACATAAATCTCCTCTATTTCTAAGGAATTAATTTTGTTTCATGGTGAAATAAATATTACAGTGAGACGCTGCTATAATTTTATAGTCAACTCGTTTATCACCTTCCATTAAAAAACCAAAATATATCAATAAATCTGCAGACATGAATCAAGAGGAAACAAAGAGTTTACCTAAGGAAAGACGGTGTAAATGTCATTTAATATAATTGTGATATTTCGCAGATTTAGAAGAGGTGTGCATTCAGCGGGCTCAATGGCGCGCAGAAATTGTTTTTTCAATAAAATTGGCCTCTATGTAGCTGAGGCGTTTAAGCCAATCAAATCTATAATCGGCGGTATGGTATACGATTCTTCAGTATTTTCGTAATTTTTCGAAACGAATAAATGTATAGTAGCATGAAAAGTAATTTCAAAATTCAGTTATTAAGAAAGCAGTTTTGTTGTCTTTCACCACAAGCGAAGAATTACTAGAAGCATTTATTAGGCCATTCGCCATTCCAGTCGCGTTTTCAAAACAGGCACGCATTTATCTCCTTAGTATCGCATAATGGAAAACACTCACTCTTCGTGTTTAGACGCTGCTTACGCATTCTTGGCCGTCTGCTCAGGAAACTGCGGTAGTCACGCTCAAGCATTTTTTTCTTTTCTTCTTAGTTACGTGTATGCATCAAGAAAGTTACGACAGAGTACGTCGAAGAAGCCCAAGCACTGAAGGGCAGAAATTTGAACCTCAATGTACTCAAAAGAAGCAGCTAGAAATTACGTTACCCTCAAATCACTTTACTTGGGATTATAATTTTGACACTCGTTCTGGTGTGCCCATTGGTGCAGTAACAAATATTTTGTCTGGAAAAGTGCGTCGCTCAAAAAGTGCGAGGGAAGCTAGAAATTATTGCGAAGTCTTTGAATAAAAGTGTATATTAAACATTCTACAACATTTTTTTTTATTTTAAAAAATGTGCTGTTTGAGTCACCATTGACCAGCATCGGAACTTACCAGCGTAAATATACTTTATGAAGAGCCTTTCACAAAAAGGGTTACTCCATTTCTATCCAAGTAGTGCAGTCTAACATGCCTGGATTGCTGGTAAAAATCATAAGCCAACAATATTTCAATATTTCCAAATTAATGCACTGTTGAAAAGAACAATGTAAGGGCAGTTCTTTTTATTGGTGCAAGTAAATATTTAGATATTATTGATTATTCAAGTGTTTAAGTACAATAAACTATTACAAACTCATATTTGTTTTAGCGGGTTTTGGGCACAACTCTGACAGGACAACAACGTAGAGCAGTTAACTCGTGTTTGCGAAGCTTGGGTGTTACGATCTTTATTTACCAGACCGCAATAAAAAAAAAAAACCTTAAATTAAAATGGGAGGGCTGGGCGGGCTCGCGCCGCTGCCAGCTGTGCTCAGCTGGCAGCGGTAGGAACGGCCTTTTATCGTTTATCGGCTCCGGCCAACTGCAGTTTATTTGTTATGAAAGTGTGCGGTACGGTACGAGGAACCAGCCGATACCAACATCGCGCAAGTGGTATGTGAATTTTCGCCTCTTTTGGGACTTCGAAAATTCGAGGCGAGCAAGCGTTGCTAGGCCTTAGGCTTAGCGCACGAGTACGGCCACCGGGGCGATCGCCCCCGGTGTTAGGCCTACCCGACGAGTACAAATAAGATGGCGTCGCCACCGACGATGGAGGTGTGCGAGAGCCCGGCAACCAAGGGCCTGCAGGCAACGATAGTCGGCAACGATGAAGGGAAGATGTACGTTCAAGTAGGAGGCCGCGACGCGACACCCGGCGAGTCGACCGGATGGACCACGACGAGTAGAAGAATGCGCAAGGCCAAGGAGCTGCAAGGTGAGAGACCATCTTTAACCGCGGAACGGCAGTCGAGACCCAAGGAGAGAGTTAACTTTGTCAAGCGAGTTACCGAGAATATCAAGAAAGCAGCCCGTATGCCCGCGGCTATCCCCAGAGACGACCATAAGTTCGTGATTAGGCCCAGTGGCGGCCTGAACGTAGCTCGAATCGAGAGGCCGGTCGTCACGGACGCCATTATGGCGGCCGCGGGGACGGCGAAAGAATACCAGGGCGAAGACATGGTGTGCATCAATGCGGCGCAGAACATCTTAGTCGTGAGCACGCCGAGCGAGCAGAGAGCCGAAATTTACACTAAGATCAGGACCGTCGAATTCGGCAACATGGAATTTGAGGTTTCCGCCTACCGAACCGCGCCCGAAGGGACGGCGAAGGGAATCATCAGAGGTATCGCAATTGACGACTCGCCCGAAGACATAAATGAGGCGGTCGTGACAAAGTATAACCCAACGGCGCTAGAGGCGCACAGGATTGGAAATTCTACAGCGGTCATCGTCCTCTTTGAAGGACAGAGAGTGCCCCGGTACGTAATATACCGAGCGGCACTGCTGAAGTGCGGGCTTTACAGGAAACATCATGAAGTGTGTAGATGTTGCGGAAAAGTCGGACACCGCATCGACGTATGTCCAACCCCGGAGACCAGAGTATGCTTCGCGTGCGGGGAGGCCAACCCCGACGCGGACCACGAGAAGGCATGCAAGCCAAGTTGCAAGCTATGTGGAGGAGCGCATCCGACGGCAGATAGAATTTGCAAGAACAAGTTCAAGGTCCCCTTCGTCGTCACGAAAAGACAATGGGAGCGCCGAGAGGAACGCGAACAGCAACAGCTCCAGAAGACAAGACCACCAATGACGTCATCGGACTTTCCACAGCTGCCGAGCAGGGAGAAAAGCGAGTGCAGCGAAAGCCAACGGCGCACCGACAGCCGCGAAAGACACAAGAGCCAGCAAAAACACCTGCCGCCGTCGCAGCAGGAAGACGGGAAGCTTAAGTGGTTGGCTGCAGTTAAGGGAAGCAAGTCGAAAGAAACGCCCCACAGCAAGCAGCAGCCACCATGCCAACACCATAACACCGGAGAACCGCCCGTGACAAGGCGAGAAATATACGACATGATCAACGAAAACAACGAAAGGCTACTACAGAAGATGGAAGAGAAGATGGACGCAAGGATCGACAAACTACTAGAAGCAATAAGGGCGAGTCAAGCGCCACTGTCACTGCCGACCCCGCAACAGGAGCAAGAGGTGGAGCAGATACCCCGCCCATCCTCGAAGAAGAAAACCCCAGCAAAGCCACCTAAGAGAAAGGAGGAACCAGCCATCGCCGAAGAGGAGGCTACCAAAAGCAGCATCGAAAGCGACGAGGAACAGCCAAAGGAGCCCAGCAACAAAAAGAGGATTATCGAGAATACCAAAGAGAGAAAGCTCATGGCCAGGCTCGACCGCATGGACAAAGAGCGGGAACAAATTGCACAGTCGATGAAGGAAAAATTCAACAAGGTAGAGATGACGCTGGGAGAAATACAAAGCGGAATGCTACAACTACAAACGCAGATGCAAACGTTCCTGCAGAGTATGGAAGCCAAGATGCAGACATTCGTGCAGAACGCCCAAACCCAGATCACCACCCAAATACAGCAATTATGAACCCAACAGCGAAATCGAACGCCAAGCCAGACAAAAGGGCAGTAACAGACCAGCAGCCGGTCAGGGACCTCCTGATTTGGCAGTGGAATTGTAACGGCTATCACAATAAGAGGGCAACGCTAACTTGGCACCTACAGGGAATGGAGAGGAAACCGGACGTCATTATGATTCAGGAAACACTATGCACTGACACACCCCAACTTCAAGGATAGAGAGCACACGCCAAGGCGGCCAAGCCCCTAAACAAAAAAAAGAAAAAGTTTGGAATACGCAAACCAACAGGCGGGGTGTGCACATTCGTCCGCAAGGGCATCGTATTCCTCGAGCACGAGCTGACCACCGGCGGCTGGACCGATAGCAGCGCGGTGGAGGTGATCGTTGGGAAGAAGAAGAGGAAAACCAGCGTGCTCGCGGCCAACGTGTACAGCAGCCCCAGACATAGAAAGCAAAAGTTCCGCACGCTCATGCAAAGGGCACTGCGTGCGACGAAGAAAGGCACGATCGTAATAGGGGGTGACTTTAACGCACCACACTACGACTGGGGATACGATAAGACAACCGAAAAGGGGAGAGACCTATTGCAAGACGCCACGGACGCGGGGCTAACGCTAATCACGAACCCGGAGACCGCCACAAGAACGGGTACTTCGGCCGCCAGGGACACCACCCCGGACCTGACGTTCGTCGAAATAAATGGGAACGACACCGCAACGTGGAAAAACACCAAACACGACTTCGGCAGCGACCACATGGTCATAGAGATCCGGGTCCCGCTGGGGAACGGTGCAAGCCAAGAGAAACGAACACACAGATACACGAACTGGGAGGGGTTTCGGCGTCAGCTCCCAAGCCAGCATGGTAACATTGAAGATATAGAAGCGTGGTCGAAGGCGATAGTAGAAACGACCGAGGAGGTGACGACAGAGATAGAAACGGACGAAGACATACACGAAATGGACAGCAGATTGGCCCACCTCATCGAGGCGAAGACTGCCCTCAAGAGAAGGTGGAACCAACAACGAACAAACAGAAGGCTCCGCAAAAAGATCGCGGAAATCAACAGGGAAATAGAGAAACACAGCAAGGAGCTCGGCCGGCAGCAGTGGGAGCAAATGTGCAGAGAGGCGGACGGCCAACTCCATCTGGGCAAGACGTGGCGACTGCTCCGGCACCTCTTCGACGACACCCAGACCAAGGGAGAACAACAGTACAAGCTCAGCAGAATTATACACAAGGCGGTAGCGGAGCACGGGGAAGCGGAGGTGAAGAGGAGACTCGACGCCAAATACCTCCCGGTTTCCCCAAAGGAAAAGCGCCCAGAATACCAGGGGGCAGAGAACATCGAGGTTGACAGAGACATCGAGGAATGGGAGGTCCGAAATGCGATGCAAGACCTGAACAGGCGTTCGGCGTCGGGCCCGGACCGCGTCAGCAACAAAGCGCTCAGAAACTTGAACGACGCGGCCGTGACGGCACTGACGGCGTAATTCAATAAATGCTGGAGGGCCGGCAAGCTACCACGCCAGTGGAAGGAAGCCAAAACCATCCTCATTCCGAAACCAGGCAAGTCGCCCGACATCGAGAATCTACGCCCAATATCCTTAACATCGTGCGTGGGTAAACTGCTAGAGCACATCTTAATGACCAGATGGCAACAGTACCTCGAAGAGGCAGAGCTCTACCCGGATTCTCTCGTCGGCTTTCAAAGCAAGCTTGGAACGCAAGACGCCATGCTCCAACTCAAGAAGGAGATAGTAGACTACGAAACTCACACCAGCGACAACAGGGCAATACTGGGCCTGGACCTGCAGAACGCCTTCGACAAAGTCCGGCACTCTGCGATCCTCGCCCAAGTGTCGCACCTGAACATGGGACAGAGATCTTACAATTACATTCCGGATTTCCTGACCCACCGCACGACTCACATCTGCGCCGGGGATCTCCAACTACCAGAGAAAACGCTCGGCAGCGAGGGGACACCACAAGGCGCGGTAATCTCTCCGCTGCTCTTCAACTTGGTCATGATCGAAGTCGCCAACCGGCTGCGGAGCGTCGATGGGGTACGCCACACGGTTTATGCCGACGATGTGACGCTGTGGGTCACCGGCGCCAGCGACGGCCACATAGAGAATACACTACAAGAAGCAGTAAAAACGATAGAGGACCAACTGAAGGGATCGGGGCTGGTGTGTTCCCCCGCAAAGTCGGAGCTGATGGTGATTCCACCCAGGGGAGCGAGCCGCAAGAAGCAAACTATCCGAGACTGCGATAAAATCCGCATACGAACGCAAGGGGGGCACATCATCCCCGAGGTAGCCAAGATTAGAGTGCTGGGCATGATCATCGAACGCAGCAAAGTCAACGGGGCAACGGTCTCCAAGCTCGAAGCTAAGACCGGCACGGCACTGCGTCTCATACGCCGCGTCGCCAATAGAAGAAGCGGGATGAAGGAAGCAAGACTCGTCAGACTGATTCAAGCCTTCGTGATGAGCCATATCACCTACGTCGCCGCCTTCCATAATTGGCGGCAGTGCGAGCGGAAGAAGATCGACGCGATGATCCGCAAAGCTTAAAAATCAGCATTAGGACTCCTAGGATGCACGAGCACGCAGAAGCTCGAAGCCCTGGGACTCCACAATAGCCTGGAAGAGATCGCCGAGGCACAGCAGACGGCGCAGCTCACCAGACTGTCGGGAACCAGGACCGGCAGATCTATCCTCAAACAACTAGGCATCGGAGCCAAGGAAGACGACCACCGGATGCAGGAGCAGATACCGCGAGAGCTGGGCAAGCACATCGTCGTGAGCCCAATCCCGCGGAACATGACTCCCACATTCCATCAAGAAAGAAGGGAGGCGAGAGCCAAGGCGCTGATCGCGCTACACGCCGGCGATGAGGGAGCCGTGTTTGTGGACTCGGCCAGTTACAAGAACATCGGCGACGCCTTCAGCGTCAGCGTGATCGGAGCCAAAACGGGTGAGATCAGGATGGCGGCCAGCGTGCGGACCACTGTGCCCAGCCAGGCAGAAGAAGTGGCGGTAGCCCTCGCCATCGCGGACCCCAGAACGAAGACGGTGTTGTGCGACTCGCCAACGGCAGTGCGCAACTTTGCGAAACAGCGAGTGTGCAGTGCGGCAGCGCGCATCCTGCGAAAGGCCGAAGTCAACGGAGTCATCACCAGTGCGGTGATAAAGTGGTTTCCCGCCCACGCGGGCGCGGAAGTGGCGGGCTCGCTGGGGCTCACCAACCACAACGAGACGGCCAACTCCGTGGCGCGTGGACTCGCCGGCCGCGCCCCGGTAACGGCCGCCGCCGACGTGGTGGATCGCCCCGAGAAGGACACCATGGACGCTTACAACGAGGTAACCCTGTGGTACCGGTTAGCCAGAAGAACGATGGCCCTGCCCCACCCCCGTCTGACGCGGGAGGAGGCGGTGGTATTCCGCCAGTTACAGACTAACTCCGTGATAACCCCAGTGTTAGCAAAGCACCTGTGGCCGGAGGTATACGTAACAGACTTATGCAGACTGTGCGGAAAGGAAAGGGCCACGTTGGCCCACATCCTGGAAGACTGCGAATGCGCGAACGCGGACAACAGTGCAGACGTTCTCCCGCCCCTCATGGAGGAGGCGAAGAGATCCGAAGACTACGACGTCCAACACACGGCCGTCCAGCAGATCCTAGCGGCACTCGAGAAGCAGCGACCGGACGGGATGGAAGCAGAAAGGGTTAACCCGAGTACGCTGAAGCCCGCCGCGAGCGGCTCTCCCCGCTAAGAAGACGTCCGGCCACGTCGCCCCAAGAACCCACCTGAGAGGGTGGGATGATAGGGGTTACTGCAGGAGACCCATTAAAGTTGCTCTCTCTCTCTCTCTCTCTCTTAAATTAAAATTTTTCCTGCAGGTCGTTCATTGAGTTATTCTGTCTTTACGAATTGTTGCTCCATGATACTTGTGCTAAACGCATATTTCAAACCTTGTGCAATATAGCTGTCCTCACAAGTCACCTTTTTTAACAATTAGTGCTCGACCAAGTGAATTACCACAGGTATACTTGATTGATTGAAATGTTCGGCCACATTTGATTCGACTATAGTGTACCCAATGTATCGAATAACAATGAAAGGGGACATTAAAAAAAATTTAACGTATCGCGTTTTGACGTTGTACACATGTGCAGATAGGTGGTACATCTTCTGAGTGAATTTATCCAGGGAAAAACATTTTTAATGAAAAAAAAAAACACGAAAACTAGAACATCTATGTCTGAACATGTAATATATTCTCCCCACCGAGAGTGACACAGACGCACTTGAAGAAGACGTTCGACTGCCACTAGTGTCCAATCACTGAGAATACCAACAGTGGGCAGCGTTCGGCGAGTAGTCGGTTCATCGTCTTCCAACACTAGTTAGATAAAGGAAATGGCCACTCAAGTAACACATTCTGTGCTAAAAAGGTACCTTGTTTGGAGAAATCGGCGGTGATATTTAGCCGAAGTGGCGCGCTTACTTGAATTCCCTGGAATGCTCCCGCCTGACGAATGGCGGAAATATCGATGGCACGCCGAGTGCGTCTAGCTTCACCAGTTCTCTCACGAAGCACCGAGTCGGTAATAGGGTATTCACTTG